AATACGGAATACCATCACGAACTTCTTCAAAGTATTTTAAATTTTTTATGTTTTAATTTCAATTGCAATTGTTTTTTCTTTAGAACATATTTATATTATAAATTCATAATAGCAAAGAGCTAGAGAAAAAAGATACAATTATAAAATAATAGCATCAATTGGGTTTGTACCAAGAAACCTAATTAATATGGAGTTTATGATTTCTAGTACCAAATTATCAAACACTAGGGCTCACGCAAATCAAATGGAGTGGAAGGAAGTTCGCAGGAGAAAAACAACGGAGAAACTAGGTATCGAGATAACTACTTTCTTTGTCACAAATGTCCCAAAGGAAGCCTCAAAGAGGGAGATCTATGAAGCGTTCATCTGATTCGGTAGACTGACGGACGTATTCATGGGGTAAAGAAAAGGAAAAAATGGAAGATATTACGCCTTCATCAGTTTTTGCAGATGTGAAGAATGTAAAACATATGGAGAACCGAATTGATGGCACAATGGTTAGAGGAACAAGACTGGATGTGAATCTGGCGTTACACAAGAGAAAAGAGCTCCCGTCCATGACAAAGAAGATTAACAGCAACCCTTCCGCGAGACACAATGACCCCTTCACTAATAAAAAACCTGCACAGGGGGTGTGGGGGAGACCAAGGGACCATAGGACGTTTGCAAAAGTTCTTGGCAAGAAAACGCATTCACATACTGCACCCCCGCCACCGCCTCCAATTCCCCCACATATCGCCCTAAGCAAAAATACAGAAAACTGGATATGGAAGACGTCTCTCATGGGTGAGGCAATGTCGTTAGATCATTTGGGACACATGCCCAAGCTGTTGTCATTCCGAAATGATATTCTCATGGAGATTAAGTATGTGGGGGAAGGGGGGGGGCTGAAAGTTCTGTTGCAGTTCAATGACTCAGTTACTGCAAAGGAGTTCAAAGACAATAAGCAACGATGGCAAGAGCATTTGAAATGGGTTGATTGGGCAGAGAAGATTGATCGGGAATTTGATAGGGTTGCATGGATTAGGATTGTTGGTCTTCCTATACATCTTTGGGGGGAACGTAATTTCTCAAAAATAACAGAAGGATACGGGGTTACAATCTCACCATTTGATGAACTTCCTAACCGGGTGGATCTCTCCTGTGTAAAAATTGGTATTCTTACCAAAAGAAGGACAAGAATAAATGATGAGATCTTTGTTTCATGTGAAGGGAAGTTTATAAAGCTTGGTATTATTGAATTCGATGAAGATTGGTTTCCCTTTAAGTTTGATCATAGTGAAGATTATTATGAGAAAGATGATCTAAGTGAAGTTGATGAAACTGATGAAGAAAATGAAGACGAGGAGGGAGTCTCGGATACGTGGATGCATGAAGATGGCGGTGAAATGGAAGAAGGAGAAATAAGTCCATTTTCAGTTGTTAGGGAGGAACCATTGCAGGGTGACAGATCGCCAGAGACGGAAAAATCTGTAGGTGCGCCGGTGAAATCGACGATGTCGATTAGGGCAAACCAAGAGACACCTGGGAGCCCTCAACGAATGGAGACATATCCTAGGGAGTCAGGTGGACCGCCACATGATACTCTCTCGGGAATAGTTGGTAACAGTATAATCCCTTCCCACCAGTTCTGTGATGAGATGATTGGCGCCACTAATGTAATTACTACTCCTCCTCCAAAGGCCCACATGAATAACTTAGTAAACGGGCTTCCACATGGGTGTTTTGGGCCCTTCCCTTCCCACAATATCAATGGATCTTCATACATCCAAGTCCAAAAAAAATCCATCCCCGGGTCATTAGGCAAAAGAAAACGATATGATATTTCCGGGTCCGATTTTCCATTAACTCAGTAGCCCATATGATTGACCTAACGGATACAGGGCACATTTCTCCTTCTACCATGGTGTCCCAAGTAAGGAACAATGTTGAAATTAACAATATCCCCACCAACATCGATCTTAATAAAAACCCGGCTACTCTCCACAATGATCTTTCTTCGTGCTCCAGGTCTCTTTCTGTGGAATTAGATAAAACGACAGAGGTTGGTAAGGAATTGGGTTTTGAGATAGACTCAACTAACCCAATTCTACTTGAAACAATGGGTGTAACCGGAGAGGAAAACAATCCGCGATGAATTGTCTAAGTCTGAATATAAGGGGAATCGGAGAAGAGTATAAGGTTTCATGGGTGAGAAGGTTAACAATGAAATACCGCACAATGTTCCTAGGGGTGCAGGAAACACAAATTTCTGATGAAAATCCCATAGATGTATCTGGTTGTTGGTATAATGGTGAATTCGGATTTGCGGCAACACCTTCCACTAGAAGATCGGGTGGACTACTCAGTATTTGGGACTCCAAGCTATTCCAGGTCGATGAAGTCATAAAGGCGAGGTATTTTCTAATCAGAATTAGTAAGTGGTCGGGTATTCAAGGTTAATTTATCCTTGCAAATATTTACGACCCTCATGATCCACAAAACAAAAAGAAGCTCTGGGAAGACCTGGGGCAGATTAAAACCACTAAAGCTGGAACCTGGGTATTTTTTGGAGACTTTAATACTATAAGAAAGGAAAGGGAAAGATTTAATTCCCAGTTCAATCGGTCTGAAGCTTTCTGGTTTAATCGATTCATTGAAAAAGAATGTCTGCATGAACCTAGAATTAGGGGGGATGGGCACAGATTCACCTACTTTTGCCAGTCAGACATCAAGATGAGCAAACTTGATACATTTCTTGTGTGCAATAATACCCTAAGTCTATTCCCCTCTGTGTCAGTCACAGCTGCTCCATGGGAGACTTCAAATCACTACCCCATCATTCTCCAGACAACCAAAGTTGACTTTGGCAAAGAGATGGATTTGAGCAACTCATCAAAGATTTGTGGAAGAAATTCAAGGGATACAACAACCCAGATGCTTACCTTCCTGCCAAATTCCAATTTCTAAAAAATGAAATCAAGAAGTGGAGAGCAAAAGATCACCCTAAGAAGATGGACGAACTAGCGAAGCTTAAACACAGGGTACATGAACTCGATATAGCTGCTGAAACAAAGATGCTATCAGATTTGGAATTACAGGAAAGGAGACTTGATGTCCAAAGGATAACCGAACTTGAAAAATTGGTTGTTCTTGACCTAAAACAAAAGGCTAGAATCCGATGGATAATAGATGGAGATGAAAACTCCCGTTTTTCCATGGGTATGTAAACAACAAGAAAAGTAAGAACCATATTCACGGGTTGTGTATCAATGGTTCTTGGAACACAAATGTGGCAGCAATTAAAGATGAAGTTCTCTCGTTCTATCAGAAAAAATTTCAAGAAAAGTTGCCTTCCAAGCCAAAACTTATCAGCAGTGATTTCTGCATGCTAGACGCAGTCACTCGATCAAAAATCGAATCCCCCTTCATAATGGTTGAAATCAAACAAGCCATTTGGGCGTGTGGAGGATACAAGGCTCCAAGCCCAGATGGATTCACCTTTGAATTCATAAAAAATATTGGGACGTATTGAAGGGCGAGATTATGGAATTCGTTAAATACTTTGAGAAATACGGAACGTTGGCCCGGGGCTGTAACTCTTCCTTCATCACCCTTGTACTAAAGATAAAAGACCCACTGCTCATTGGTGATTACAGGCCAATTAGCTTAATTGGCTCGCTATACAAAATAATCTCCAAGACCTTAGCCAACAGACTCAGTATGGTGATTAGCAAGAACAATGGAGATATTCAAACGACTTTTGTGAAGGGATGCAATATCCTTGATGGTCCGCTAATCGTAAATGAGAAAGCCTTTGACTCCGTTAACTGGGAGTACCTTGAATCGGTACTTATTCAAATGGGATATGGAGATAAATGGCGCATGTGGATCAAAGGATGCCTCCAATCAGCAAGTCTCTCAGTTCTTATAAACCGGTCTCCAATGGTGGAATTTGGAATGGAAAAAGGTGTACGGCAGGGCGACCCTCTCTCACCATTTCTATTTATAATTGCCATGGAGGGATTAAATGTTGCAATGAATGTAGATTGCAAGAAGGGTCTTTTCCAGGGTATAAAAATTCCATATTCAGAAATCGAAATCTCCCACCTGTACTATGCCGATGATGCCATTTTTGTGGGTGAGTGGAATCAAAGAAACATAAAAAATCTAGCAAGGGTGTTAAGATGCTTTCAGGTGGCGTCAGGATTAAAGGTAAACTTTAACAAATCCACGGTATTTGATGTCGGAGTAGACATGACTGAAGTTGCTCGATGGGCCGCTCCCTTGGGTTGTCAACCATCGTTACATCCCTTCACTTACCTGGGGGTCCCGGTAGGTGCGAATGTAGCACCTGGCTCCTGGTATGTATTCTTGATTATTAACTCTCCTTATGTATTGCATTTTTATCTTGGACTCAGCGAGTTGAAGGACTAACTCGTCGAGTAGAAGCAGGTCTAGACACGGGATTAGTTATGTCTACTCGACGAGTAGGCCCGTGGGACTCGGCGAGTAGACCCTGTCTGGACTAAAACCCTAACCCGGGTGTTTGCAGCCTATTTAAACGATCTAACCCAACCTCCATTTCCCCTAGCACTCCCAGAGGTCTGTAGAACGAAACCCTATCCCTTTGTGTCCTTGTGGGTGATCTTTTTAGCATTGTGAAGGTGGTTTGGAGCTTGGGAGAAGAAAGAGAAAGTTGAGGAGTGCAAGGAGAGAAGAAGATCCGGAATCTACTCTGTGAGGGACTTCTATTCAGGTAGAAAAGTTCCTACCTTGATCTTTAGTTCATTGAACCCCCTTCTTGTCCCTAAAAAGAGGTTTTAAGCCCTAAGAACCTACATCTCTATGTGTTTATAGTTAATGTTCCACAAGGACTTCGTATTTGGACCTTTAGGACATCCTAGTAGCATAAAGTCTCTGTGGTTGAAGTGATTGAGGTCCCTATTGAGTGTAGGACCTCTTAAAGAGCTTGGAATTGCATGTTTGAACTCATTAGGCCGTGCATGCACGTAAAGTTTGCAACTTTACGTCGTAAACATGCCCTAGGACCATAGATCTGTGGTTTTGAAGCATTGCATGTCTCAGATTTGGCCTACTTGGGAAATGGGTCGAGGAACTCGGCAAGTCCCAAAGTGGAACTCGGCGAGTTCTATGAAGATGGTCTTAGACTAGGCGAGTCCTATGAAGATTTCCTGGAGCTCGTCAAGTTGTTCCTCAAACTCGGTGAATCGGTACTCGAGTCGGCCCCATAGTCCCGAGTGTTGAGTCGAGGGTGACTCAGTGAGTGGGGAGAGAGACTTGGCGAGTAGGACCAGATTAGTAAGGGAAGGACTCGTCGAGTTGCTCGCGGACTCAGCGAGTCCAGTCAACTGGAAGTTGACTTTGACTTGGATTTCGACTTGGTTAAGGGTAAAATGGTCATTTTACCCTAAGCGCATCTAGTAGTGTTTGACTGATCGTTTTGTGGGAATTATAGCCGGAGGGCGTCCGCAGCAGTAGCAGTATACAGTCAGTTTCCGATCAGATCAGTAGCTACTTTGAGGTGAGTTACCTTCCAGTAGCGGTGGGTCTACGGCCACAATGCCGGCCCACCAGTAGGAGTTGTATGTAGATGATTGTCTCTGTGATATTCATCTAAGGGATTACTACTACCTGTGCTGTATTTATGTGCTAGTGACAATAGGTGGAGATAGTCCCCAAGATATCTGGTCAGTAGGGCCGAAGGGGTAGTCATACCCAGCAATGTTAGATAGATTCTGATATTGTGATACATGTTATGTGGTAGTAGTAGAGGGGAGAAATAGCTTCCCGAGTATCCAGTCAAGAGGACCGAAGGGGAGGCCAGCACCCAGATATGCTAGGCAGTATCCGGTCGAGAGGACCGAAGGGGAGGCCAGCACCCAGATATGCTAGGCAGTATCCGGTCGAGAGGACCGAAGGGGTAGGTCGGGCACCCAGATATGCCTGACAATTTGTGTATGTTATGTGATTATATGGTATGTGGTACAGTGGGGGAACTCACTAAGCTTCGTGCTTATAGTTTTCAGTTTTGGTTTCAGGTACCTCTTCAGCTAAGGGAAAGGAGTCGGCGCGGTAGCAGCATATCACACACACTCTTGTTTTCTCAGTTATGAGTTTATTCTGGGATTGATACTCTGATATTTTGGTTGTTTACATGTTGTGGATTTCAAATTTGGGTTTTCGATGTGAAATGGTTTAATTAAACAACGTTTTAATTATTAGTGTTTTCTAAGTAAAGTTTTAAAAATGAAATTTCTGGATGTGAAAATTGGGTCGTTACAAGTTGGTATCAGAGCCTTGGTTTGAGGGATTCGGACACACCTTTGGGGGTGTTTGAACTCAAATGGAGGGATTAAAAGATTTTGGAAAGAGAAAGTGTTTTCTAAAAGGCTAAGTAAAGGGTTTTACGAAAGTACAAAGTGTGTGATGTGTGCGATCGGCCGAGCTCAAGTAAGTATTCCCCAATGTACCCATACAAGTTTATTTATGTTATCAGTTTCTGTAGAACATCATCCTAGAATAGGACTAAGGATCTAGGAGTGATGCCTTATGTGCTTCAGTATATGAAAGAGTTACATGCCAGAGTTGAGTAGATAGCAGTAGGGTAGCCTGTTTAGGTTATTCCTGATAGTACGAGTTTAACATTGCATGCTAGTTCAGTTTTCTCTACGAGGATAGAGTTGCTTGAGATTGTTTTCCTTATGTCCAAATGCTATTTGCTTTGTGCTATGTGGGATTTGAAGTGATGGGAGTTAACTGTTAGGTGAATACGTTAAAGTTACATGTGATCAGGGTTGATTAATCTCATAGTGTTGGATTTGACTCTATTGTGTAGCTCTTGTTTGAGTCCTAA